AAATTACTTGTTTAATAAAATAAACGGTTTCTGTGAGCGTCTATTCAATTCTGTCATGTCTGTGTGTCTGTCTGTGTATATATATATATATATATATATGGTGGACTCTCCTATCTTGAATGATGAATGAGGGCCAGTAGCCAGTATTGGATGGTGCCTTTCGTTTTACACTTAGGCATGCTGGAAGGAAAGGCACGGTTAAGTAATGGATAGCGGAATGGGAGAGCCGAGTTCGAATCCCAGTCGAATCCATTTCATTTACTTATGTGCTAATACCCTTGGGAAAGGTATGAATCCTCTTCTTTCAAACCCTTTAATATATATATATATATATATATATATATATATATATATATATATATATAAAAGTAACTTACCCATTAACTTATATATATATATGCGTGTGTATGTGTGTGTGTGTGTGTGTGTAATGGCACATTGTTAGTATTTGAATAAATGAATAATTATTAAACTTTTTTTCAAATAATTCTTTTCACTATTCTTAGATTATGTTATTTTAATATACTTTGTTTTATTAGCCATTTTTTAAAAAATTCTTTTTATTTTTTAATTTTAAACTTTCAATCATTTCTAGTGATCGAGGGCTCAAAATAAAACAATCGACGGTACACATTGATACATTTTAGATTCCAATACAAATGGAATATCCCACATTAGTTAAAAAGGAGGTCTGTTTTGAACAGAAGAGGGTGTTCGTCTTCTGGAAACTTGGAACGTCAACTCCTCACGTTAGTGTAAGAGATGGTATAAAAATTGTGATTTGACATAGGAATAAAAACTAACCTAAAAGAAGTAGTTTTCCTAGATGTCAGACTCAACACAAGAAAGGGTGCAGGTCAACCATATAGAAAACCCATGGACAAACCACTTTACATACACACATTTTCCAACACCCGTCAGCAATAATCAAGCTTATCCCACAATCAGTTAACCGTAGGTTATCTAACAATTGTTCCAATGAAATCATCTTCAACGAAGCCAAGACAGATTATGAAACAGCCGTAAAAGATAGATTTTCGGTAATACTCACGTACACTCTGCATAGTACAAAAAAAAGCCAACAGGAAAAGAAACATCATATAGTTTAACCCGCCGTACAACAAAAACGTAAAAACAAACACAGGAAAATATTTGTTAAACTCATACGCAAACACTTACCCCCATCACGCATTTGCTACAAAATATTTAACAGAAACGCAGTAAAAATCACCTATAGTTGCACCGAGAACAACAGAAAAATAATCAAGAAAGAAACTGCCCGCACAAGCCAAACCCACCTGTAACTGCAGAGGAAAGAACGAATGTCCCTTAAATGGCAAATACTTACAAAACAATGTAATATATTAAGCCAATGTAAAATCAGCAAATAACGAAGAAAAAATATAGGTAGGAGTAATTGAAGGATCCTGGAATCAAAGACAAAGAAATTACTTACACAAACATCCTTTTCAAATAGTAAATACGCGAACAGCACAATGCTTTTTAAAAATATATGGGAAATTAAAAGCAAAAAATAAATTAAGCCAAAAATATAATGGAAAATAAGGAAAACAACATTTGCCGACATTGATAAAATTGTAAATTTTGTATGGAGGAGAAAATAGCTGTAATCAACTTTCCAGAACAATGCAAATTACTAAAGAAACAATCAGAAATTATCTCAAAATGCAGACACGAAAACAAATTTTTACTACATTACTTAAAAATCGAAAACTAAAAAAAAAGAAAGGAATATCTTGTAAAATTTCACCATTTCTCTAAACCCTACCATAAATGCCTGGCTGCTTCTTGTTTTTCAGCCTGTTTGCAATCCGCTTCGGTAGTTCCAGTTTTTCAGAACTCGGGTGAACCGTCTGATCTTTCTAGCTATCAGTTTATTAACCTTCTACCTCTTATTGGCAAATTACTAGAGGCCTAATCGACTCTCGACTGGTTAAGCATTTCACATCATAGGGTCTTCTTTCAGATAAACAATATGGCTTTCGCTTCTCTAGTTCCTCTGCTGATGTTTTATCAATTATTGCTGAAAGAGTGTATCAAGCTTTAGATAAGAATGGTGACGCACGGACAGTTGATTTGACGAAGGCATTTGACAAGGTTTGGCATGACGGTTTTCCTCGCAAATTGAATGGTTATGTTATTTCTGGACTAATTTTTGATCTGATTCAGTTTTTCTCGTCAAATTGCGAAATGAAACCTGTCCTGAACGGCCACTCTTCTAAGTTTTCTAGAGTAATGGAGGTGTCTTTCAGGGCTCTATCCTTGGACCTAATCTCTTTCCTAATTTTCATCACTGACCTTCCTGATAACACCAGATGATGATATAACTACTTAGTCCTTAATAGTAAGTTTGATCAGTACGATAAATTCAAATTGGCAGCTGATCTAAAAAAATCCCCGGCAATCTGTTGTTAACTGGGACAAGGAATAACTTGTCAATTCTAACGAAACTCTTCTGAGAGACCTCTTTCTGCTTTCCTGATGATGCTAACCTACAGGAGAGCGACTCGTTGCACCTTCTCGGGCTAATATTTTCCGCTGACATGAAATGGAAAGATTTTATTGAATCAATTGCTTGGTCTGCTGCTAGGAAAGTTGATTCACTGTGTCGAGCTAGACATTTTTTTTGCCAGAATCTATCTTGCATATTTATAAGTCTACCATTTGTTCTTGCTTTGAATATCGCTGCCGTATCTGCTCTGGTGCTACTGTTATATATTTAGAGAATCTTGATAATATCAAAAGAAGATTTTGCAATGTTATTTTTCCTGACATGATATCTTGGCTTCAGTCACTTTCTCACCGCCGTAACATGGCTTCCCGTTCACTTTCTATAAATACTTTCATGGTAATTGTTCTGATAAACTTTCATAAATATTCATTGGGGTTTCATTTTAAATGTTGCTATTGTTACAATTTTTGGATACATTATGTAACTAGTGAGCTAGCCCAAATGTCTTGACTCACTTTATACTTCACCAATAGAAGGTTAACCAATCAGAAGACGTAGAATATTCAACCCGTCGTGTATAAAGGCGGCCATTTTGTTTACTCTATCCGAATGTCCAGTGCCAGCTTGTCACGCGAAGAGATAACAGAAGGACGAACTATGCTCTGCTACTTTTATCGAAATATCCACTGCTAACCTGAACAACGCTTTCCTACTCTTATCGAAATATTCACTGCTAACCTCTGGATTCTATACTCGGAGACGACTGTCATCATGAACAACAGCTATTTCATCCCCCCCCCCCTGACAAATTGTACATACGGGAACTAATTAGGATTCCATAGAGACTTGTGTTATTATGGTGACTGTAGTAAAAGTAATAAGTAAGAATATGTTGTTTTGGTGTAAGGAATACTGCGGTATGTTTGGCGCAGTCATCGCAGCTAGATAAGTTTAAGATAGATTGAAGACCAGCCTTCTCCTTTCCCCCCTTTTCACCTTGTATCACATTTTTGTATTAAAACAAAAAAATCTTACTTTCCTTTATGGTATTTAGAGTTTATGAATCTAAGCACAGTACTAGATTGGCAGCTAGGTCCCATCTTTTTACACTTGAAATGGCTAGATGTAACCGTAAGTTCTATGCTAACAATTTCTTCTTTCACACTTCTCGCTTGTGGAACTCACTTCCGGTTTCTTGCTTCTTTCTTAACTTTGATCTTAAAGAGTTTAAATGCAATGCCAATCGTTATGTTCTGCCTTCTTAATCACTGTTCTTTTATTGTCCTCTCTCCTTACTAGTGCATTTTTTTTCATATTCTCTAACACTCGATAGCCTCTTACGTTTAAGCGGCTTTTCTTGCTTTGCATGGAGTGAAATGATTCAAAGTAAATAAATCTTTGATTTCAAAAACAAAAATGAATCGAGGAATTCTTCTCCAAGTCGATCAATTTTATGCAATCAATTGTTTCTTTCTATGTAACACACCTTATTTAGCTAACAAGTTTCAAGAGCCGAATATTGAAAGATTACCTGCAGAAATTCAAGGAATACACACCGTTATCGTTCTTGTATGACAGAATACATAGCACAGCTGAAAGTTGACGAAAATGCAGACGCGGTCCTATAGCCTTGGTTGGCAATCTGTCTAGGCGAAGATTTGATTTGTTTAACGGCATATCAGATCCTTATGGGTCATTTAATGCCGAAATTTAATTTTCTCGGGAAATTTGATTAATTGCTTCTGTTTAATGACCCCTGAACCTATTGTTGGTCATTTAGAGCCAAATTTATTTTGTTGTAAACATATTTTACAAATCGTCAAGTATTTGGTTTGGTTTGTTTTACGGCATATCAACCTCAATGGGTTATGTAATGCCGACAAAATTTTTATTGCTGGTAATATGTTTTTCTTCAAAAATCTATTTCAGGGAATATTTTTCCTTGAAAAAATCTATAGCTGGTAATATTTTTTTTCAAAGAATGTATAGCTGTTTGTAATGCTGGTACTTTTTTTTTTAAAGTATTTTCCTTAAAAATTATTGCTGGTAATATTTTTTTTTTATTACAAAGTATTTCTGGTATTAAAACCTATTTTTACACAAGTTTGGGTGTTAACTATATGCCCATAGCTGGGGCCCTAACAGGTGTTACCACTCTCGATTAGTTGTCCTACGGCCATTGTCTGCGATGGACGTTACTCCAAGGAAGCGTACGAAAATTGTAACGCTGCGCGAACACAATGGCAAGCGTTACCAGTGAGCAAATCAAAGTACTATAGACTGGCCCGGAAAATCTGATTTCAATTCAATCGAGAATCTGTGCTCAATCTCCAAGGAATGACTTCGTGGAATGGACATACGAAGTACTAACATCTTCACTGGGTCATGATAGGAACAGACCGAGATAGATAGATAGATAGATTGTCCAGGAACCTCTCCTGATTTAAATCCAATCTAGAATCTGTGCTCAATCTCCAAGGAACGACTTCGTGGAATGGACATACGAAGTACTAACATCTTCACTGGGTCATGATAGGAACAGACCGAGATAGATAGATAGATAGATAGATAGATAGATAGATAGATAGATAGATAGATTGTCCAGGAACCTCTCCTGATTTAAATCCAATCTAGAATCTGTGCTCAATCTCCAAGGAACGACTTCGTGGAATGGACATACGAAGTACTAACATCTTCACTGGGTCAAGATAGGAACAGACCGAGATAGATAGATAGATAGATTGTCCAGGAACCTCTCCTGATTTAAACCCAATCTAGAATCTGTGCTCAATCTCCAAGGAATGATTTCGTGGAATGGACATACGAAGTACTAACATCTTCACTGGGTCAAGATAGGAACAGACCGAGATAGATAGATAGATAGATAGATAGATAGATAGATAGATTGTCCAGGAACCTCTCCTGATTTAAATCCAATCTAGAATCTGTGCTCAATCTCCAAGGAATGATTTCGTGGAATGGGCCTACGAAGTACTAACATCTTCACTGGGTCATGTTTCATTGGAAATAATAATTCAATTATTAGTTTTGTTTTAATTAATTTGTACAAAGATGAAGAGATAGATAGATAATGAACAGATAGATAGATAGATAGATATGAATAGTCTGAGATATATAGACTGACCAGGAAACTCTCCTGATTTAAATCCAGTCAAGAATCTGTGGTCAATCTGCAAGGAATGACTTCGTGGAATGGACATAAGAAGTACTAACATGTGCACTGGGTCATGTTTGTTTGGAAAAATATGAAAAAAGTAAATAATAACGAAATTATTCGTTTTGTGTCAATTAATTTGCACAAGGGTGTAGATAGATAGATAGATAGATAGATAGATAGATAGATAGATAGATATGAAAAGACTGAGATAGATAGATAGATAGGTAGAAGAATAAAGGCATAGATAGATAGATATGAAAAGACTGAGATAGATAGATAGATAGATAGATAGATAGATAGATAGATAGATAGATAGATAGAAGAATAAAGGCATAGATAGATAGATAGATATGAAAAGACTGAGATAGATAGATAGAGAGATAGATAGATAGATAGAAGAATAAAGGCATAGATAGATAGATAGGAAAATACTGAGATAGATAGATAGATAGATAGATAGATAGAAGAATAAAGGCATAGATAGATAGATAGATATGAAAAGACTGAGATAGATAGATAGATAGATAGATAGATAGATAGATAGATAGAAGAATAAAGGCATAGATAGATAGATAGATAGAAGAATAAAGGCATAGATAGATAGATATGAAAAGACTGAGATAGATAGATAGATAGATAGATAGATAGATAGATAGATAGAAGAATAAAGGCATAGATAGATAGATAGATATGAAAAGTTTTGAGATAGATAGATGGATAGATAGATAGATAGATAGATAGATAGAAGAATAAAGGCATAGATAGATAGATATGAAAAGACTGAGATAGATAGATGGATAGATAGAAGAATAAAGGCATAGATAGATAGATAGGAAAAAGACTGAGATATATATATATATATATATATATATATATATATATATATATATATATATATATAGATAGATAGATAGATAGATAGAAGAATAAGGCATAGATAGATAGATAGATAGATAGATAGATATGAACAGGCTTAGACAGAGAGACTGGTCGGAAAATCCCCTGATTTAAATCCAATCGAGAATCTCTAGTCAATCTGCAAAGACAGAGTTCGTGGAATGGACGTACGAAGTACAAACATGTAGACAAGGTCATGTTTCACTGGAGAAATATGATAAAGTAAATAATAATAGAATTATTCATTTTGTTAAAATTAAGTTTGAAAAGGGTGTATTTTTAGACAAAACGTTCTGAGAACTCTTCCCTCAAATTAAAATGATATAATCAACACTACAAATGGCACTTGGCCCAAGTTTACAGTATGTCGTGGAGCGTACTGTGATGACTAAATAATGGATTTATTTTGAAATATGTTATTGGACGCGAAACTGGGTCACTGACACTCCTCGGAAATATTAAATTATCTCAGTCATAATGTTAATTTAAGTGTTCGCCCCTCCATAGTTTCATGACTAATTGTTGTCTGGTTAGCAGCATAACCCTGACATAAGGACAATATAGTTCGGAGTCTATTTTCATGAATATAGGTAACTCCACTAAATTTTCGATACCTAACGTTTAAAATTTTTATAAATGAGAAAACATTCTTGAAGATTTTTAGCTTTAATTGAAAGCTAAATGATTAAATTTATTATTTCCAGTAAGTAAAATATTCTGGTGTATTTCAGATAGAAATTATATAGATTGGAATGTCAAATATATGCCCGATTTTTTAAAAATTGTCTTAAAAGCGGCCATTTTCTTAAATTTTAAGAAATTTGTAAACAAAACAAAATTATCAGTTTTAAAAATCTTCCAAAAATAAAATATATATTTCTGACACGTTATTTGAGTAAAATTAGAAAATTTAAAGTTAAATTAATCTGATTTGAAATAAATATTACTTTCAGCATAAAAAAGTAATATACATGAATTTCTTAACGATGGGTTCTGATTTTCTTTGATCTCTACTGACGTAGCGATAAGTTCTGACACCTTTTATGGATGACTAGAATTGACATAAATTTACGAAATCCAAGTGAACGCATTTTTTTTTTTAGTTTTTAACTACCGAGTAATTTTTACAAATTAACATATTTTCAGTAATTAATTAATATTTTATTGATTTATGGTTAGGTTTCAAGATGCTTTATGAAATTTGCGTTTCGTCTCTAGGTTCTTAAGTTTACTAACTTAAACAAAAAATTAATTAATTGAAGTATGATCCGAACTAAAATAAATATATGAAATAAAATTATTTAGTGAAATAGTAATTAAGAAAAGTAAAATGTACATTGAAATTACCCCAATCATAATGTTGAGATCATTTAACTGTTCAATAATTTCATGCATAATTGTTTTTCACAGTAAGGTTCACATTGTATAAGGCCCGGGGGCCTTCGAGGTAGAGGGTTACGTTAAGAGGTAGTTTATATGGATAGGGAGGGAAGATAACGGTTGGCTGTGGTTTGCGGGAAGAAGTTGTTTGAGTGGAATTTACTTCTCGCCGATGGAATACGGAGGCAATGTGAGTGATTTGATACAATGTAAGTGGCATGTGATGATTAGACCTGCCGGAACCAAGGAATGTAGTTCGTCTGACCACTTTCTATGGTTGTAACAGTAGAGCAGCGAGAGATTCGCCACATCCCGCCTCTGTGTGTGTGTGTGTGAGAGAGAGAGAGAGAGAGAAGGAGAGAGAGAGAGAGGTTGGAGGGTGGAAAATTAATTCTCCAAAAAGGACTTGGAGACGATTTTGAACCCTATTAAGTCTGGAAAGTGAGCTTTGAACAGGTCCCGTGAAAATATGGCAACAGTACTTCATTTTCGATCTAGTTTTGTTTGGTTTATTTTGTTTTACGGCATATCGACCTCAATGGGTTATTTAATGCCGACAACATTTTTAGGATAGATTCGTATGAATAGAATACGTATTCTTTGGTTTAGATTGGTTTGGTTTATTTTGTTTTACGGTATATCAACCTCAATGGGTTATTTAATGCCGACAACATTTTTAGTATAGATTCGTATGAATAGAATATGTATTCTTTGGTTTAGATTGGTTTGGTTTATTTTGTTTTACGGCATATCAACCTCAATGGGTTATTTAATGCCGACAACATTTTTAGTATAGATTCGTATGAATAGAATATGTATTCTTTGGTTTAGATTGGTTTGGTTTATTTTGTTTTACGTCATATCAACATCAATGGGTTATTTAATGCCGACAACATTTTTATTGCTGGTAATAATTTTTTTCAAAATGTATTGCTGGTATTATGACCTATTTTTACATTTTCATACTGTTTTGACCTCAGTTTGGGGTTTAACTAGTTTCCCATAGCTGGGACCCTAAGATGTGCTACCGGGTTGTGGTCCTGTTAGGTGCTGGTGTTCCCAGGCTCATCAAAACCTCCTTGTAGCCGGATGTAGTTTATCGTTTTACCCAGGACGCCTCATTGGGTTAGGGGCATTCAGCCTATTCTGTGTACTCTGAAGCCCCAGTCGACAGACCATTTGTCTGGCTCTTATAAAGTTAGAGAATAGCATGAGGAATCAGGTACTTATTGGAGCTGATCATTTTACAGGGAGCCTGCATCTTTCGCGATGCATCGTATATAGGAGTTCTAACAGCTTCATGAATCTCAGACTTACGTAAAATAAATAATGTAAAGCAACAGCAGTAAGGCAATAGGTTCACACAGTAAGAATTGTGTTAACACACAAAAAGGGATACAGACAAGCGTTCGCAGTCTATTATGATTAATACAGGCTTTCCTCGCTTAACGAACTTTATTATGAAACCCGGACTTACGATGAGTTATAAAAAAAATCTCACAAAAATAAAAAATGAATATGAAAAAAAAAAAATCAGTCCATTTGGCCTGATTTTGTTAAAGTCGTCGAATATGTGTGTTTATAGGCAGTAATTTGAACTTTGTTAAACCGGAAGTGGCCGAATGGTAACAGCATGTCAGGACAAATGACGGTTTCCATATGAGATGCAAGTTCGATTCCTGTCATATTTTCTAGGGGATCGAATATTCAGGTTGGTAAATGTAATTATTACTGTTTAATGAAAACAGAGCATTTACTTAAATAAATTGTATCCATAAAAATAACGTATAAACAATATATATTTAAAACCTCTAACCTTATAGTTATCAGGTCATCCCATAAGTTCTGTCCGAATTTTAACTTTTTGTTAAAATGAACGAAATTTAAAGAGTATTTTATAATGTCTAATGGAGCTGAACATTATTTTTATGTTTAGATGCATTTAAACTGATCAAATTTTATTTCAGAGAACAATAAAATTAAATTTTGTTTGATTAAAACCCTGCTAACATGGAAGTACCCAAGAATCATTTGAGGCACATAATGCTTTATGAGTTCAAGAAAGGAAACTCAGCAGCCGAAGCGGCTAGAAACATTCACTCAGTTTATGGAGAGGAATGTGTGAATGAAAGAACTTGCAGAAGATGGTTTGCAAAATTCAAAGGTGGAGATTTCACCCTTGAAGATGAAGATCGAACCGGACGTCCAGTTGAGTTTGATGAAAAGCTTCTTGAAGCAGCCCTTGAAGAAAATCCTGCTTTATCAGTTGAGGAATTGGCAGTGGTTCTCAGTTCAAACCATACAACTGTTCATCGTCATCTTCAACAACTTGGAAAAGTTCCTAAACTTGGAAAATGGGTGCCTCATGAATTGTCTGAAAACAACCTCAAATCCCGAGTTGACATCTGCTCTTCTCTCTATTCTCGCCAACTTGTTTCACCTTTTTTGGATAGACTTGTGACTGGCGATGTTAAGCGTCGTAGACATTAGCTTGGTAAAGGGGAAGGAGCCCAGCCATAGCCGAGAAGGAAACTTCATGGGCAAAAGGTTCTTTTTTCAATCTGGTGGGATCGCCAACGAATAATCCACTTTGAATTCTTACCACCTAATACAACAATTAATGCTCAAATATACTGTCAGCAATTAGAGCGTTTGAACCAAGCTTTGAGGAAAAAAGACCTGCTCTAGTGAATCGAAAAGGGGTGATGTTTCATCAGGACAATGCGCGACCCCACACAGCGAGAATCCCGTCACAAAAGATCTGAGAACTTGGTTGGGAGAAAATTCCTCATCCACCTTATTCTCCCGATCTTGCTCCTTCAGACTACCATTTGTTTCGTAGCTTATAGAATCATTTGGAAGAAACAGCTTTTGTAACACAAGAAGAGGTTAAAACTGACATTTGTGAGTTCTTCGAATCAAAGCCAAATGAATTTTACAGTAATGGAATTAGTAAGTTTGTTAATAGATGGAAGGAAGTCATAGATAATCAGGGAAAATACATTGTTGATTGAATCTGTAATTAAATGTAACATTTGGTCACTTGTTTTCTTTATTCAAAATTCGGAAAGAACTTATAAAAATAATAAGTCACCTCCTAGAACAAAATTAAATAGGAAAAATATTATTTACGAGTTTAAATGTCCATTAAGGAATTGTATTTCTGATCAATCAAAATTCGTAAATAATTATATAGGCCACTCTACAACATGTTTGACACGCAGACTCACTCAACACCTTTCTGACTATAGCTCAATTAGATCTCATTTAAATATTCATGGAGACCTAACGGACACTATTCGTAACATGCTTGTTGACAACACTGATATAATAGCATCATCTACATACAAAAAAAAAAGGCTAAAAATATTGGAAGCCTTATTAATAAAAACAAAAAACCAACATTTAATAATATTAACTTTGAACATGGACACAATATATTGACCGTGTTTTGAAAAATTAAAACATTTTGTAACAGATACATACAACAAACTATTTTTTATTTAACAGTTAAAATATTTCATCCTTGAAAATGGCTGAATGTATAGCCGAAAGCGCTCGGATAAAAAGAACATTCTGACAGTTTTACTATAATTTATCATCCGAAAAGAAAAACATTATTAGATCGCATGAGAAATTGTATAAAAACTAAATAAAAGCACCTTGTCTGTCGTATTCAATGAAATGTGCATGAAAGAAAGAAAGAATTGCTGCCTAAATACACACAAATATATATATATATATATATATATATATATATATATATATATATATATATATATTATATCGACCACTATTTTATTAACATATATTAAGATAACGCTCATTCAGTGCGTGTGTTGATATAACAGTGCTCGATATAAGAACTATATATATTAATATATATATATATATATATATATATATATATATATATATATATATATATATATATATATATATATATATTATCCCACACTGGTAGCACAAGGTAATCTTTTAGGTGCTATGTAGAGACTGAATGTTACATAATTTAAATTTTAATAAAATAAAAAAATTCGATGAGGATAAAAACGAAGTTTCCAAGAATTTTCAGTGAACCCAATAATTACGTAGGATATTATGGCTTAGGAGTCCGGTGCCTAATCCGTGGTTCATATATATATATATATATATATATATATATATAAAAATAATTTTACAAACTTTGGGCGCGGGTTCCTCTCACCAAAACAAGGACAAAAGTTCCTATAAGCATATAAACGCAAATCCTTCCTTTTTGAGGTATTAATTTTAAAGTTTACGGTAAACGCTGACCAGCGGGCAAAAAACCGGCACATGTTGCAAATGATACGCATAGAGGAGCTGCTCTTGAAGTACTCTTCATGCGGTACTATGAAATGTACGATATGCTAGAGACACTTGACGTGTTCTGTTACCTGGATCGTCTCGGACAGCCTCTAGAATGTGTTCTAGGTGATCAGGCGTACGAACGGATCTAGGTCTTCCACGATCCATAGTTCGTGGTGCCAGATATCCTGTCTCAGCAACGCGAAGATAAACAGCAGTAAAAGGTTGAATGTCTTCGGTCCGGAAACGCAATCTGATACAGCCGTGCAGCCTCGCGTCCATTGCTATTCACGCGGCTGTATGTAAAAAATCATATCTGCATGCTCGCAATATGAATATTCTACCATTGTTAAACGGAACACTTCTCAGGTACCTCACTACAGCAGACATTAAACTTTGAAGACAGGCTAGCGACAAATGTAAATAAATAATAAACTTTGTCTTCATGGCAGTGTTGCGCATCTCCAGTAAACTGTTTTAAAATGAAGGATTCGCGGACATATGTTTATATTGACTTTTGTCCTTCTTTTAGTGTGAGGAACACGCGCCAAAAGTTTGTAAAAGTATTTTTGATACACCATATATATATATATATATATATATATATGGCGTATCAAAATTTTTTATTATTTTTTTTATTATAAATAGTCATCGCCAGTGACCATTTTTCCCCTATAGATTCTCAGTAGATTATCTTTAGGTTGAGATGTTGAAAGCTGTCCTGGATCTAGACACAATTTCCTTCTTTTTTGGATTCTCATAATAAATCCATTCTTTATCACCACTGACCATATTTTTCTCCAGTAGATCCTCTTTGTGTTGAGATGCTGAAGGCTGTTCCGTATCTAGAAACTATTTTCTTCATTTGGAATTGTAATAAATCCATTTCCTATCATGTTACTATCTTTTTCGCCAGTAGATTTTTTAGCTTAAAATGTTGGCGTCTGTGCTGAGTTTAGACATGATTTTTCTTTTGGATTCTCGTAATAAACCCATTTATCATCGCTAGTGACCACCTTTTTTTCCGCCAAGAGATTCTCTTTAGGTTGAGATATTGAAGCCTCCCCAGGATGTAGACACGATTTTCTTCTTTGTATTCTCGTAATAAATACATTTTTCATCACCAGTCACCATTTTTTCCGCAGTACTAATTGTTCATGTTTAGATGCTGAGGGCTGCCATGGATGTCGGTGGGTGTTTTCTTTTGAATGGGTGATTCTGTTAAAGTAATTCATTCATGATCTTTCACATATATTTATTGCCCTCAAATAACGACGTTCTGGGTAAGACGATAAACTACATCCGCGTCCTGGGTAAGACGATAAATTACATACTAACAGCAAGGCATCTGATCAGAGGCTTTGAGGAGCGTGGAACCACCTCTTAATTGCTGGTGCTCCCAGGTCCACCCTGACCCGGGGTGGTAGCACCTGTTAGGGCCTCAGCTATAGGCAAATAGTTAACCCCCAAACTTGGGTAAAAACACTATGAAAGTGTAAAAATAGGTTTTCATATCAGGAAAACATTTTTGTAAAAATTATTACCAGCAATACTTTTTGAAAAAAATATTACCAGCAATACTTTTTTGAAAAAAATATTACCAGCAATACTTTTTTGAAAAAAATGTCACCAGCAATACTTTTTTGAAAATTTTTTTTACCAGCAATACTTTTTTGAAAAAATATTACCAGAAATACTTTTTTGAAAAAAAAAAAAAAAAATTACCAGCAATACTTTTTTGAAAAAACATATTACCACCAATACTTTTTTGAAAAAAATTATTTAACAGCAATACTTAAAAAAGATATTACCAGCATTACATTTAAAAAAAAAAAAAAAAAAAAAAATAA